GCCCCCCGCGCCCGGCAGCGTCGCCCGCAGGATGCCCGCCGGGGCTGGGGGAGCGGCTCGGGCCCAGCTTCGAAGGACTGAGCTGAACTGATTTGGCCCAAAACATGACTTAAAAACCAACAAAAACCTCACCGCCCGCCTGCATCGCCCCCGGGCTGCTCGGGCCGTGCCGCCGGGCGCGTCCCCGCCTGCCAACGCCTGCCGCGACGGCTGCACCGGGAGCAACCCCAGACGCCGGCAACATGGAGACACGGGTCAAGGGTGGGTTTGGCCTCGCGGTAGAGAAGCAGGCATGCAGGCAGGATTCACGTGCGAAGCTGAAGAAGTGCGAGGAGGCTCCCCACATGTCCCCTTGGGAAGGGGACTCTGCTCCTGCTCGGTATTTCCAAGTGCCATCAGGTCCCATCGCACGGAGCCCCTGGCGCAGAGACCAGCGGGGAGCTTTGCTGGGACCGGGGGCACCACCTCGGCCCCAGAGCCCCCGGCCCAGGAGTCGGGTCAGGAACACGGGAGCAGGCCCGATCCACCGCGTACAAGACAAGCACAGGGGTCGCGGGGCTGCACCGCACGCCCCGGCACGAGCGCCACTCCTCCACGCACGCTCGCGTCGCAGACAGAAGGCAAAGCATGACGCGCAACCAACCCCGAGACGTGCGAGCTTATTATGTGCGTCCCTGAAGTAGTGTGCAACGTGCAACTCTGCCCTGCCTTCTGCCAGACTTCAGGCTAACGTGGTTTACTACCTCCCTGCGCACCTTAAAAGGGCAGCGTTCAGCTTTCCAAATGTCCGTCTTCATGAAAACACCCCCAAACACTGCAGTGAGGGGCAGCGATTGAGATCATTTGGAGAATGCTTCCCCCAATGCTTTTTGGCTGTTGTTTCTTTGTCAAATAGGTTGACAGTGCCAAGGTATTTCAACACCAGGAAGTCAAGGCCAAAACATTACCTGTAGCTTAGCTAAATGTTACTCTAATAGACCACTAGAGACACTAGCAGTTTATTATAGAGTGAGTGTGTATATGCTGTATGTCCACTAATTTTGGCTGTTAATCATTTCCTAACAAGAGACCAATAGTGTACATTTCATCCATTCACAGTTACGTACAATATGCATATTCTGCCAGGCCAACTTATCTATTATTTGATCAAAGTTTCTTCTAGACTCCAGATGGTAGCAGTCAGTTTGAGCCCTCTGGCAGTGGTTTTGACAACACTTCCCATTTTTATTCCAGCTAGTGTAACTGCTGAAGTGATTCTTATAATCATCTATGAATTTTCCAAAGCTACTATTTCCCCCATCATGTTCTGTAGCAACAAGTTCCAAAGGTTAGGAGAATTTGCTTTCTTGTTTGCTTTTCCATTCATTCAGCGCTCTTGTAGCGTGGAAAGAGATGTGCAGAACTGTCCAAAAGCCTTTGCCAAGCCATGTAATACTCCATCTCCTTTTTAAAATTATATAACCCTAGCCTTTTAAACTTCCACCTTAATAGGAGGCATTCTACTGGGTACCTTCAGTCATTTTTAACTAAGTTCAATTTCTTTTAAATTTTATCCATGATAATAATTTAATAAATCGTCCTTCTACAGTGCCTTCTACCCAAGAACCTGTGCAAATATAGCAGAGGTAAAACTAGATTTTATCATCCCTACTCTAAATTTAGGCATAGGGAAATGAAGTCAGCCAATGACACGTAGTATATGAAGGAAGGCTGGGAATAGCACCCAAGGCTCCTGCCATCTAGTCCTGCAGTTCAAACAATTTTGCCTGTTTCCTTATAGACAAACACAACCAGAATTTCATACAGGATTCTGCAGACCCCTGAGGAGAAGGTGGCCCAGATGTTCCCTTTGGAAGGGATCAGTGGGAAGATTTTAACTCAGATCCTACTAGTGCCCATTTAGTCATATGCTCCCAGTGCACAGTCCAAAGCCAGTAAGGGCATAAAAGCAAACAGCAAAAGTAACAACACTAAAAGCGGTAGTGAAATGAGAGCCCTTGTCCTTCTCTTTGAATGCAAAATGGCAAAGCTCCTCACTGATGACAGAAGGAGCAAAGGTAGGTTCTGTGCCAAGCCCCTGAGCAGCATAGAGGTATTACACAAGTGACTACTAACTCACAAGGTACTCACCTCTCAGTTTAAAGGCCACTGACAGAAGACCTCACCTCATGCAGCCTAGTCTAGCGCCAACGACAAGACTAGAGCACTCAGTGGGTAGCAAGTGCTGGGCTAGAACAAAGATACAGTCAAGGAAGTAGTGATTGCCTTTATAGCAGCCTTGTAAAACAGTCGTGCCTGGCACAAACTTTGCCTGCCACTTCCTACAAGATTGAGGGGCATGAAAATGAAGATATTTTACTCGCTATCCAGAAATTACTCATGCTTCGTGATGGGAATTTTCTCATGACTGTGTTCCAAGTAATTAGCAAGTCAAAGAGTTTGGAGGTTTCCTGAAGCATGTGCGTAAAGTTGGCACGTTCCGACTCAACATGTAGCACCGATTCCAAGCCTGCATCTTCAAGTCTTGGCTGCTCGTCAGGGTATTTTTATTTAGAAAAGTCTCTCTAACTTCTGGCATCTGTGATCCCTACCAGTAAAGAATCAATCGGTGAAAGTCTGATGGGTCTCACTTAGATTGTAAAACTTTAGGGCAGGGAGCATCAGCTCAAAAGCAACTATTGAAACCAGCCAGTTGATACTGGGGAGCCCAGCAGGGGATCTCTTGGACTTAATCTTGAGAAGTCTTCAGCCCCAGCAGCTTCACTGCACTTCAAGTGGAATCAAGAGTGATCAGTACTAAGTGTGAATGGGTCTGTTTGAATGCCCAAAGCTTCAAGCATCAAAGATCAGAGACATTTGAGGTGGAAAAAAACCAGAACAAAACCTAAATCTTATGTTTTTACTCCCTTTGTAACATGCTTATCACTTCTTTTGAGTACCCAAAGATATAATTTGTACTACTGTACAAATTTGCTGTAATTCAGAGCAGTCAGCCTATCTTTTGTCTTTTTCCCAGGATAAACCAAGGTAAAATGTTCAGCAAAACAACTCCTACTAGGATTACGATAACCTTGTAAGGCCCCAAATTAGCAGGACACCCTTTGTGAGAATCCAGTAGGGATTCACAGTAAGGCTGTTTGCAGATCTGGGGATCCAGGTGTTTTTGGCAGCCTAAATGTCAAAGATAAACGCACTGGATTCATTACCGCGCCCTTAAGGTTTTGACTCAAGTAAATGAGGCCTACATTCTTATCATTAAACTATCTCCAAATGTCCTGTATTCTTTCTACACAGGCAGCACGGAAAGATCCTGCGTAACCCCAGACTTGGCTGCAGCAGAAAAAAAAAAAAAATGATGGTAGATGAAGTTCTTTTTTAAACTGCGAATGTTGCCCTCTAGCGGCAGATGTACAGTTATGTTAATCTTGCTTTACCACTAGCCTGCATATCCACCTTGACAAAAATGCAACTTTTCTGGATTCTACTATGCAGTATCAACCCTTTGCTCTACGTTTAAATGGTTTGCGTCATGCTGATACTCCTCCCCACCCCCCAAACCCTTCAAATTTAGAACATTATGAAGACAAGGAATGGCCACGATTGGAACCTGGCTATGAATGTTAGAATGCAAAAAGTTACTGCTCTGCTCGCACAAAGTAACAACGAACAGCTAAGCTGCAAAACCATTACTACACCTTGATTTAAAAAAAATAAAATAAAAGCAAGTGTCCTCACCCACAGCCAAACACAGCACAGGTGCAAACTGCCTTCCCTAAATCCATATTGCAACTATACCGGGGTCATCTGAAAAGGAGCGTCGCAGGAACATGTTACACTAGAGAGTAAACAAAGCAAAAATTAGCAGCAGTGGGAACACAAAATACGGGTGGAGGGGAAGGGGTAGATAAGGTGTGTGAATAAATACCTAAACAGGATGAAATGCTTCAGGAAAAGGCAATGGAGGTCCATGTTCCTGTAAATGGACCAAAGGAAAGTGAAACAAACCAAATAATAAATCAACACTATGCTGATGCTTCTAAGTGTTCTCTGTAGAAAAGATTGCCTTAATGGTTATATATTTGCCCCAAACTGGACACATGGGCACACAACACATTTTAAAGTAATTTAAAGAAAAGCAGAAGATGCTTGTTTCCCCATTCTTAGAGGGGACGTGATTTAGTGTCTAGAGCCTTGTTGGGTTGCAGCATCACCGACTCTTAGCTAGGTGACACAGGAGGAAACTTTTCAGAGGCAGAACGTAGCAGTTTGCCCATTTGCAGGGTGTGCGGGGTTATGCCCACCCCTCCCCGCCAAACCAATGCCTTAAAACTTGAGTAATACCCTCCTTAGTTTGGGCAGGCTACTGATGCAAGTCATAACCATGCTGGAAGGTTTAACTGGCAGACAAGGTTCTTTAGGTAGATTTGATATCTTCTTTTAAACCAACTCCTTGTCTGCCTATGTCCTTAGACCAACACGGCTACAGCCTATACCCCTGTACCTAGTGCTGAAGAGCGATTTTGGCATACTGGCATAAACTGGTCTCATCTATGCTAGAGAAAATTCTCTCCCGCCACCTCCCAGGTCTAGGCCTAAATCACCATTACCCTTGGTTGCTCATTTCCTCTGGTTTCCTTCCCCTTTTAGATTTTACTTTCCATTTCTCATTCTTAACATGTCAAATAAACTTGGGCACACTGCTTTGTCCACCAGAACATTATGAGGTACGACATTATGATGCAACTCCTAGCACAAGCATACAAGCTACAGGTGCAGCATTAAAAGGCTTAGGGGGTGCTGTTTTTCCACAGGCACATTCCTTTGCCTATTTGAATCTATATTTACCAGGTAGTCTAGTGATACCTAAATAACGTAGACTCTCTCGTGAGCTCGCTCAGGACCTCAGACAAATAAGACATTGTTCAATCTAAAATCATAAGCCTTGTCAACTCCATTTTGGGATTCAGCCCACTCTACTCTAAGCCCTGGTTTCTATTCCTCTATAAAGTTTGTGTCACATTATTTGAGGGCTCAGATGTCTCATGCTGTTTCAGCTCACTAGATGCAGTCTCCCTCTGTAGAGAAGGTATTTTACGAGACTCTTCTGCTTCAGTTAATCAGTATTGTGATACCTTTTGTATTAACTTTAGCTGAAAGATTAGAAAAAAAATGGACAATTACCTTTAAGTCTTCTAATGAATATATCACTTCACACTTGTGGCATACCAAGCCTCTAGCATGGCACAGATGGGTATCTTGCCAGAATTATTTGGAATAATCTTTAAAATTCTTGGATTGTGAGCCATGTATTTTTAAGATTTAAGCTTTAAGAAAGACCATCCTGTCCATTGTCTAAATGGAAGATGGAGCTTCCACGACATACATAAAAACAGCTGCCTATCGTATAAAAAAAAAATCCAACATTTGAACTGCTAAATTGGTTTGGATTTATTGTTTCTCCTCGTTTGGAAGGACAGTTCTGGGAACGTTCATCAGCCACTCCTACATTTGATGACATTGAGCAACTATGCATCAGGTCTCATTAACAGCTACAAAGATTCACTTTTACAAGTGCTATTGATTTCCTAATACAGAGGAAAGAGCACGGACATTTAAAGCAGGCAGGTTTCCAGATTTGTGCCTATAGCATACAAAAGGTTAAACCCAGTAAACAGCTTGAGATATTTGAGTGAACAAAATGTGCCAATTTCTTTTTTTTTTTATTAAACATTGCCCATCTATGAATATAGCTAGGGATGACATTCTATAAATCAGAAGTCAAGGGCTAACAGCTGGAAGCTTCAAAACAGATTATATTAGTCTAACTGGTTCTGGTATCTAGTTTCCAAACCTAAGAAGCTTTGGTTTTAGTTATTTGGATAGCTGACAATCTGCGGTATCTAGTGCTCCAAGTCTGCTGCTTCTCTGACAACAATAAAGGATATTAAAGTCCAGTCTACAAGGCCTTCGGCAGAGGTCCAAAAGGTACTCTTGCCAGTTCAGATGCAGTAGCCTGGTTTAAACACGCTTTGTTAAATACAGGATTCCCACGGGTGAAGTCTGAATCTGTGCAACCTCTAATGGGATTTTTATTTAATTCCTTATTGTAGGTACAGTCTGAAAGTCTGAGATAAGTTCATGAGTACGAAAAGCAAGTATTGGAGGGCTGTTGGAATTGTGAAGCCAGCTGAGATCTCAGTTCAAGAGTGACTATAAATCTTCCTCCCTTTTTTCCAAACTAAGGAAATACCAAACTACAAACAGTTTTTAGAGGAAGAAAATTCAAGCCAGTGTCACCCAAGGAATGTCCAAGAAAATGAGCCAACTCCCTTGCCTCCTTTGAAAATCCCAATCTAGGATGCACAGAAATTTCTCAGAGAAAGCATAGCTTTTACAATAACCATTTGATTCAAAGAACTTACTCCAGGGGAAAAAGCAATTAGCAGTAACCCTTGAAAAAAATTCTATTGTAGTAAAAATGCCAATATTCAAGTAAACAGCTGATGTCTGTGTGCAGTGATACAAGTGTTAATTAGTAAATGGTCTAAAACAATGTAAAATGTTCGTATTCAAATCATGGTACCAAACTAGCTTTTAACACTTATTAACCATTTGTTGCGTCACAATCTGCCCTATATTTTACAGCGAATGCGGAAACATATTCTATTCACTTTTAGAAACAGCAAACAGGTAAACCACTCGTCTTATGTATTTAAGAAAATTATGCATCAGGCAACAGATGACTCATATAGTAAGCTACATTTGTGGTTAAAGAATACAAGTTTTTTTGGCGTACTTTTGACAATGCTAATTTAATTTACTACATACATCTACAAGCTGGAAGATTGTTTTGCTTAAAAATATTTCACATAGTTATTGATGTTTTTTTGGGTTTTTTTAAATTGAAAAAGGCCGTTCCGCTACATAAAGATGCTCCAAATGACGGGGAGGGAGGGGACAGGGATAACAACCTTTGGTAATTAACATGCTTCCAGAGAACTAGGTCTTCTTACATTTCAGTCTTACTCATCTTTAGGTGAGAGCAAGTACAGATTAAGTGAAACAGTTCAACTAGACCCCCTGATACTGGTGGCCTAACACCACCCACAATGCACTGGAAGTTGAGCTGGTAAGGAAGGTATTACTCAAAACATTGCAACCACAACCTTTTAGGACAGTGCTACGTTGCAACCACAACCTTTTAGGACAGTGCTAGTGTGAACAGGGGACAAATCTAAAGGGCTGTCATGGACACCGAGTGCATTGAACCTCAGCTCGGGTCTTCAGCGTAGACAAAGCCCGTTTGCTTCTGCCACACCCCCTCCTCCCCCCAGCTTAGTGTGCTTAAGCAATGTTTTCTTTTAGTTTGGTGATTTCTGCATCACATCTGTAACAAAGACCACAGACATCTACTGTATTCTTAAAGTAACCAGGATAAGTTAAAAGCATCAGAATAGGCAACCGTATTTTTCTTTTAAACAAATCAAGGGTTTAAACTACCACTTGCACATCACATGACAGGCTGCAGGCACCAAGAACAGGGCATAACCCTGTGTCCTATTATTTGCGCGCGCACACACAAACTTTTTTTTTTAAAGCTTCTTCAGACTACTGGAATGAAAGTTTGTAATTTAGTCTATTTTTTAAAACACTCCGTCCCTTATTCCGCTTGGAAAAAGAACTGAACTGTTTCACTGTTTTTCACATTTATAACAAACACAATATAGCCTATATCCATTACTGAAATGGAATATTTAAGCCACAAAGCTTTATTTGCAGATTGGTTTCTTTCTTCTAATTTAATGAATACTTTTATATTCCAGTATTCCCCTCTGATTTTAACTGCAGACTATTAAAACCAAGGCCACTTCTGAATGAGAACATCCATGGAGGGCTTGCTACACTTTATAGCTACAATTTTAGTTCACTCACCTCAACTTTCCCATGTCCTTAGGCCAGTGACTGGCAACCACAGTATCACCAGATCTTTTGAAGAGTGCCCAGAGGTCTGAGATAAGTAGATAAGCACAGGCTCAGATCTGTCCCTGGCTGGCCTACCCCATGCCCCCCACTGCCCAGGACTTCTGCAAGGGGAAACAAAAACAAGTGTAGACAAACCTCTTTCAGACTTAACAGGGTAGGGGATTTACTGTGCATTACCCCTCCCACTGCTTTTCCCCTGCAGTGACTGGCCTTGGACATAGAGGCATCGCCCTGCTTCACTGAAAATAAACTGTTCCAGTTTACTTTTTGAACCTACCAAAGGTAAGAGCAGGCACCATTGCCATGCTTCAGGTATTTTGCAGCAAGTCCCCACCACTGTCAAACGATGCACTTGTTCATTTGCCAATAACTTACCAATAAAGAGAGGGCTATCAAATAAAAAGTAAACAAAAATAAATAAAGAGTTAAAAGTAATCATCAATCCGATATTTAGGTAAATATTTTCAAGCAAACATGAAGTATGTTTGCTGCCTCTTTAATACAACCCCATAACACCACATCTCCACAAGTTTACCCTAAGCTTGTTTAGCTGAACTGCTGAAAGTAGGTTCATTTACAACACTGGTACTCTTGGTCTCTAAGAGAAGTAAGAGGCACATAATCATAGTAGAGCAACTACCAAATATGTGAGATATTCACCACTGAATATTTTAGGGGCAACTCTGAACTGTTAATAAAAAGTAGCAAGGACTGCTAATTTTTAGGGCATACGCAGCACACATGCAAGATCAAGAAAATGATTACCCGTCTGAGTATAGGTGCAATTTCTGGGACTCAACAGATAAATGTTACAAGGGCATTAGACAACCCAAGACAGCTATTCTCGTGATCAACAGGTTAAGCATTGGCCAACATTTTGGATTTTGCACACAAAGTGAAAAAAAATAAAAGTTGCTGGCTTGTCTCATGGCTAGGATTCTCCATCAAAAAGTTTCTTAATCTCAGGTGCCACTTGTGCAGCATTTGTCTAGCTATATCTAAGGACCACTTTACACTGGAAGTGCCTTGAAATGTATCCCCCCCCCCTTCCCCCACCCATACAAAGCTGTCCTATAACATGGTTAAGGCAATTTAGTTTGCAAGGGACTGAACCTGATTTTACTTTGACCTTCAACCAAGTGATCCTGGAGTTTTGTTGAACTGTAGCAGACAGTTGTGCTCTAGGCAGCTGGTCCATCCCCCAACCTCAACATGTTTCTACAGTGCAAAGGTTATCAGGCATCTTCAAACTTACATGGTCATAAGGAAAAAAAAAACAAAAGACAGTTGGTAAAGCCTACTAAGATATAATGTTTTGCCAATGCTTATTAAACATGGATTTGTTTGGTTGGACTTCTGTAGTCTTTACCTAATTCACACAGCTTTTGTCATATTTAAAGATCATGCCAGCCATAAAAAAATATCCATGGCCTTTCAGAATTTAAGAGAATTAATAATGCTTACTACACAGAACGAGTTTACCATTATGCTGATCTGATTTCACAATAGATGCTCAACTTGCAGTAGGCAGAAAAATTGCAATATAATTGCAAGTCTTGTCAAATTACTTAGTGCCTATTTACAAAACAAAAGCCCAAAAGTTTCTCCATGCAATGCCCTTTAAGTTATAATTGCTGACAAAAAGAAGACGTGGAAAATACTCGTTTGAGAGGCCAACTTAGCTCTCTAGACACTCTAAGAATAAGTCTGACCTACTCAAAAAAAGGTGCACCAGTTTAAAGTGTCGGATTAAAAGGATACAGGGGACTCAAGTAAACTATGCTCATTTCACTCAGAGCCAAACTTACTCCTAATAGGAATCAAATTGAAGTAAATTTTGTTTTAGTCTTCTATAAGGCTATATATACACCCAGTCCTCTGTAAGACCTTAATCCAACACAATGCAATCTAGTTTAAACACTCATGCAGAGAAGGTCTGGGCCCAGATCCACAGGACGTATTTTAGACAGTTAACTCCCAATTACTTCTGTGCCTATTAGACCCCAAGCACCTTTGTAGATCAGGGCCTCTTTTTTTAGACCCCAATGCAACTCCCACTTTTTTAGCCACTGACTTCAATGGCCTGACAGTCACAAAAAGCACGGATTTTTGAAACATTAAAATGCTTAGAAACATGGACTCAAAGCAACTTTACATAAAAATTTTAATCCATGCCCCATGTCATACATACTCTCACTCAAGCATGTAAGGAATTCAATTCTTTATTTGTGATATCCATAAACCCATAAACGTTGCTATTCTATAGTTCTATCCAGGAAGGCAGCTTCCTCTAAAACATTATGCTTTTCTGTTTTTAATTAACAACAAACTTTAATTCTATTGCGTAAAAGGGCTACAAATATACATTTGTTAATCAAGCAGACTACACAAATATTTTGCTTTACAACTGGCACCTATGTTACTGGTACACTTAGCTGGCTCATTTATCATAGCACTTTGCCCAAACAATTTAGATTATCACTTCTTTTGAAAGATGGGCAACTGTAATTATTCTACAAATGTGCTGAGGCAGGTATTTCAAACCTATTTGTTTCAGTCAATACTCAGGGAGCCCATCTGTAGTCACATGCAGATTTGATTTTTATTTCAGTCTACACCAATCATCTAATGGCATAAAACAGCTTTAAAAAAAAAAAGAAAAGAAAAGAAAAAAGAAAGAAAAAAAATCTAGTACAGTTAGCAAATTTTGCTTCTGTTCTAATGAGGCCTACAGAAACAGTTCTGCCATCCTACCAGTAGGTGGTGCTGCAAAGGATTCTCCGGGAACTTTAATGAAGGACAATAGTTCAGAGAGTGAGAAGTCTGTTTTAACTGGGTACTATGAAAACAAGTAGGCATTTAATAGAAGGGACAGATGTCGACCCTTTCCTGTAAGGAATCATTTACAGACAAGCCAATAAGAGGACTTGAAACTAAGCAATCTGAAATTGAGAACAATTTATATGAATGAAGCACATGCTTAAACACAAACTATTTCTTCAAAACTACACAGTACATACGTTGATGGAAAAGTCCTATAGAAAAAATTGACCAACCATGTCAGCACGTCAAAATGCCTAGTACAAGATGGTGGATGCACACAAACTGCATAAGTGAGAATGAATATTTAAAAAACAGACCACGTCCACCAGTTAGTACTTCAAAAAAAATCTGTCGAATGTTTGAAAACCAATAAATCCAATACTGGGACAGCAAAAAAAGTCAAATCAGGACCTTTACTGGCAATAAAATTTACTTGAGATACACAGAGATTATAAAGTAGAGGAACACTTGTTGTTTTTTTTGTTTGTTTTTTCCTTTTTTTCTCCAAACCCAGAAAAGCCCTAAACCGTACGGAACAGTTCCTAGGAAAAAAAATTAGACATGTAAAGGTCAATGAACACAATGATTTATTTAAAAAATAAAAAACGTAAAAACGATTTTCTTTTTTTTTTTCTCCTCCTTTACAGAAATGTTAAATTTCAGTCATGGGATCTGAGTCGATTTTTGTAGAAAAAAAATGTCGCCAGGTATCGAGTCCTTAACAACACCCCGGTTGTTACTCCGGATCAGCAAGATGCTTCCCCACCCCGCTGCCCACCCCTGCAAGGAAAAAAAACAAAACAAAACAAAAACGAAACAAAACAACAAAAAGAAGAAAAAAAACAGAAAAAAAAAAGAACAGAAACAAAACCATTTTTGTTGCTAGTATAAAAACGACCAAGGTCCAAGTAATAATAAAAAAATAGAGTCCATCAATGACTGTAACACAAAGTATGTGTGTGTGGGGCCCAGTCCATCTTCAGAGAGAGCGAAGTGGCGCGGGCGGCGGAGGCGGCCCCCGGGGGGCATTCAGGAGCTGCTCCCCCAGCAGGGGAGGGGTGCAGGAGCTGCCCTCCGGCAAGGAGC